GCCCCCAGTGTTGGGCTGCACCCCGCAGGCCTGCAAGCGCTATATTTGCCCAGCTTCAAGACTGAAGAAAGAGCCTAGAGTCAGCGACAGAGACATCAGTGGTTTAAAGGATAGAGGGAGCTTATATGTCTGGAGCAAGGTGGAGTGACACCCCACCATGTGTGGCAGATGGCGAGCAGGACATGGAGGAGTCTTCCCTCCCAGGAGGAGGGGGAGGTTACCAGCTATCAGGTTGGCTCATTGGTTACCACGGAAACTACCAGAGGGGCATGCCTTTGATAAGCCCCTTTGATAAACTATCAGATGGAGATGTTCTGAGTTAGAGTTTAGAACAATCACCAGCTGGGGTGGGGGCAAGCATGTAGGAAGGTCTGTCATGTGCACTGGGTGTAGGTGAAGCAGCCACTGGTAGAGTAGGGGATGTACAAAGAGCCAGAGAACAGCCATCTCGAGTGGCCTGACCATATATTCCACCCCTGCATACCCTGCATGACTCTTACAATCTTGGTCCACCCCTTTTCCACAATACTCCTGGGGTCAGGTCATCGGGTGCTGCAACCAGATACCACAAATACAACACAGACATCAGCAGCTAAAGAGTATCAAGAGTAAGATACCTAGTATGCTAAGAACAGTCATTCACCAGGAATGTGGGCAAATTTTGGAGCCAAGTGCTTACTGGGTCCGTGGAGAGGAAGTACAATGGTGGCAGTGTCCTGTCTGGTTATAAGGAAGGTAAGGCCACCCCTAGTTTCCACAAACCCAGAGCCACCCCAATGGGAAGGCCCTGGCTCTAAAAGAAACATTCTGGTGGTCTAGCCGGGAGTCAGCAGTCACAGAACAGGGCTGCCACCCCATATCATGTTGAGTGCCATTTCTGGGGGACTCATTCGGTCTTTCCAAACAAAACCAGGTAATCCCACTAGTTGAACTTGTGTTCCCAAAAGCCAGCTTATTCCACTCCACACAGCACAGTCTGGGGTGCTCACAGGCAGTCAGTTTTACAGTAACATTTACCAACGGGGTCCTTCTGATGCACTGGCATGTGGGACAGGAAGATGGGGAGAGTCTTGTTACCCCATCATCAGTTGCCCCATACAGTCACATTAGCTGGCTCAATTTTTTCATGGGAAGTCCAGAAGAGGATGACAACAGAATCTCACAATTAGACCCAGCAATTAGACTCATTTTGCAGTAAGGCCATGGTTGCTTCCCAGTCCTCGAATAGATTCCCTCTGCTCAGGCTGGGGATGAAACATAAGGCATCTAACAGGCACAGCACAGGGGACAACATACCATCAAACAAAATACAAGGAGTACTCACGTTCTGAGATAACACCACACTGACCTGCAGTTTTTGTCCTGGTCTGACCTGGCAATATAGTTCAGAAAACTCGTATTTTCAGGAATACAGGAATGTGTCCAAAATCACATCTACAATGGCTACCTTGGACGGCCCAGTTTTACCTTGGATGTCTGAACCACACAGCTACTCCATTTTGACTTTCAGATGCATTCCCCTCCACAACGGACAAAGCAAATGTAAAATGCAAGTTCAACAGGCCACAAAATAGGCCACGCTGGTCAGTAAAGTTTAAAGTTTATAAGCCAGAATGACTTCCCCATACCTTCACATGTGACGATTTTCCCATCATTTTCCCTTTTGATTGAAATCTTTCAACAGACTGAAGTATGTGTCCTTGGGAGCCAGCGTGAAAGCCGCCTGCCTTTCCTGGGTCCAGATCATGTCCCTTGGTGCTAGCCCTCCTTTATATTTGCCTCATTATTCATGTTGAGGGAAAACTGATCAGATATTATGAACAAGCTCAGAGGTATGTTGATGGGGAAACATCATATAGAGGCTATATGTTTTATCAATTATACCCTATTGTTACAAGCATGTTACATGTGCTTTTAGCAGCAGACTTAAAGCAAGCAGGATTATACCTCATGAGTAGTTATGCTCTGTGACAACGTCACTAGATAATTTTCTTTTCCTCCTGAACATTAGGACAAAAGTGTGGCTAACATGATAACTTTTATAAATATGGGCCTCAATTAACAGGACTAGAATTTAACATCTATTGAAAATATAGTATTTTTCTGTCTAAATTACCCTCATCTCTATCAAACATAGCCAAATCAAGACTAATTTATTTGCCAAATAAGTCTGGTAAACTGACCACATAGACTTCTCCAAACTGGCTGTGGTGGAATTCCTCAGAAGGAGTCAGACTGAATTCCTAAAAGACCTCTCAAGGCCAGGAAATTCATGCCAAAGGCC